TTATTAATATTTTAATTAAATATGTAAATGGTTATATTTATAACTGGCAAATTTGACTTCGGGTTAAATTTATTAAAAAAATTATGATATCTGATATTTTTACATAAATTTTACGTTATTTTTTTTTTTTTTTTAGTAAATCCAGACAACACAATTGGAGCAGTGGGCTTTACAACAATGATTGCCCCCTTCTTGTACCCCATTACATTAATCAAAATTGATGAGAGAACAGGAGAGCATGTCCGAGACAGAAATGGGGTGTGCATCCGGGCAAAACCAGGTTAGCTACTTTCTACTTAGGCATGTTTTGTTGCCAAAAAAATGAACAATATTTATCTGCAAGACTAAACTATGGAAAGGAATCACATATTCATTACCTGTTCTAGATCAATTGAATGTAACAAATCACTTGTTAAACCCCCCGCTTGAAAAGTGGGAGGGTATACTGTAATCGGTTTGTCCGTCCGTCCATACGTCTAGCTGTCTGTCTGTCTGTTACGCTTTGGGGTACCCACCTCTTAGCCGCAACTCCTCTTATACCACTGAGTGAAATTTAATGAAACTTTCACAGAATCTTTATTACATATTGCCATTGTGCACCTCCTATTTTACTTTTTGATCCGACACATATTTGTGTTTCCCGGCCACAGCAAAACATGGACTTTTCCATTATTACCATATGGGAGGTGGGGGGTATCATTTAGTGAGCTCATTGCTCACAGTACCTCTAGTTTTATATATAATATCAGTGTACTTATTAAGACATATCTGATAAAGAATGTTCCTATTTGACGTTTTTGGTACAGGTGAACCTGGAGAATTAGTGGGTAAAATCGTGAAAGGTGATGCCCTTCGAGAATTTGATGGCTATGTCAGTCAACAGGCTACAGACAAGAAAGTGTGCTCTGATGTGTTCAAGAAAGGAGACAGAGCATTCTTAACAGGTAACCACTTCAACAACATTATCCCGGTAGTACAGATCATAAAGTTAAAACATTGCAGATTTGAACATGTTGGAAAATTTGTTTTAATTTAATATATACATATAAATGCACCTTTTATTTTTTTTAAGTGAAATTTTGTTAACGGATGAGTGTGGATATTTTTTTTTAATTTTTAAGGGATTTTCTGATCATGGATGACTTTTGATATTTCTATCTATTTTCAGGTGATATTTTGATTATGGACGAGTTTGGATATTTTTATTTCCGGGACAGGACAGGTGATACGTTTCGCTGGAAAGGAGAAAACGTGTCAACGTCTGAGGTGGAGGCGGTCATCAGTAACATCATCAAACTTAGTGACGCTGTAGTGTACGGGGTTGAGATTCCAGGTAAGGACATTCTATTAAACTTTTTCTTTGCCTGATATTTTTTTTCAGTTTGGACAGTCTAGGTAAGACATAGTAGTACAGAAAGAAGGAATGATAACAATAATGAATCCCTGTATTCCAGGTTTGGAAGGAAGAGCTGGAATGGCAGCCATTGTTGATGAACACAACTCCTTAGATCTGGATTATCTCTACTCATCGTTACAGAAATCACTCCCAGCGTATGCTAGACCTCTCTTCATCAGAATCAAGAAAACAGTAGACACAACAGGTATATTTATTGGCCTACTTAAAAAAATTACTTTTTTAATTTTTATTACTTTGGTACTCTCATACTATAAACGCTAAAAAAAAAAATACAAACCAGAGTTGAAAGTTTTAACAACATATTCTTTAATAGTGTTACCCTTGATATCTCAAATTCCCAGATATCTTGAAGATTTGCTCAGTCCTGTTGATTTTGAGATACATGTAACAAAGTTTGTCTTTAATTGAAATGATAATAAGACCACTACACACAGGAAAATAATGAAAGATATTACAGTGTAATTGGAGTTGCACAATAGCAGATGAATGATTAAAATGCATCATTTTGCTGAATTTTTAAGATTTAGAATATTATGTTAGTTTTGATTTCAAATGTTTAAGTTACCTTCTTTAATAAAAAAAATTCATGAAATGCAGGTACCTTTAAACTGAAGAAAGTGGATTTACGGAAAGAAGGTTTTAATCCAAGTGTTGTAAAAGATCCACTGTATTGTTTGATTTCTGGAAGATATGAACGCATCACAGAGCAAGTGTACAGTGATATCTGCAGTGGAAAAATAAGGCTATAGTCAACACTTGTATTAATTTTTAGAAACACACAATTGACATTAGTGTGTAATCAAATGATACTCAGGAAATACTCTGGTATTTCTACAGGAAATTAATATTCAAACTGACAGGAAAGAAATGTTTTAATGTAATTAACTTATTTAGTGAATTGTGATTGAAAACCAACTCTTTCTTATGACAAGTTGAATTTTATTTATTTTCATAATTTTTCTACAAGAAAAAAAAATGTTATAAAGAAGCATGTACAAGATATGAGCATGTGTAAAGTTTTGTTTGTGGAATGTCAGTGAATGTTTTAAAATACAATAATGAAAATTACATGCTAGTTTGAATTCTTTTTAAAGATTTAAGTATGTGTAGTCACTAGTGTGAATTACAGGTCTAAATTAAAGAATTTAATTAAACTAGCACTTACTTATAAAACAACTACATAAAACATTTTGTGACCTGTTGTGGTGTCTTGTAATGGTGATGGAACAGTTAATATAAAAGCCTAATAAGCAGCTCTATTTGGCTGAAGTAGCAATGATGTGGGCAAATTTGAAACCCTTCCACTTCCCATCAGCTAAATAAGAAAAATCATTATGCACTGAGTATTGATGACTACAAATTTTCCCTAATTTGACAATTTGTAGCCCTGTGTTCTTGTGAAAAATAAAAAAAAATATACAAGTTGAAGTCTCAGAATTTTGCATTACTTGACATGAAATCCATGGGCCACATCGCTCACCTGAGCACATCAGCTAGGAAAAAGTTCATATCAGTCCAGTACCGGTATTTAAAAGTTTACTGGTAGGAGTTGGGGCTTGAATGTTGTACTACTTAGAATGCCTCCACACAAATATACTGAGTACATGTAGCATATAACTTTGCTGTTCTTGAGAAGAAAATATTGAAAGATTGTTTAAAAAGATTTTCTTCCCATATTTTGCTTTGTGAAAATTTGATTTCCCATTTTTGCCCCTCCCTAATCCCAGGGGACATGATTTGAACAAATTTACATTTTCACTTCATAAGGATGCTTATGTGTCAATGTGTCTAAACATAGCTTCTCATTTCTTACCAGAAGATGTTTCCATTTGAATATCACCAATCATGGCTTGTTAAAGATTTTTTTCTATATACATGTATTCCTATGTAAAACTTGGTTCCCCCATTATGGCTCCACCCTATCCCCTGGGGTCATAATTTGAATAAAGTGAATCTACACTACCTAAGGATGCTCCCATGTACATATTACCATTCATGGCTTTGCTGTTCTTGAGGAGATATTTAAAGATATTTCCTATATATTTTTGTGAAAAACTTTGATCCTCCATTGTGGCCTTTATACTGAACAAACTTGAATCTACACTCCCTGGGGATGATTTCACATGAGTTGAATCTTTTCTTTCCCAGTGGTTCTTGAGAAGAAGATTTTTTTAAAGATTTTTCCTGTTCATACCTAAACAAGAATAGATATGGGTTACCCCATATCCAAAGATATTCGACTTTTAGATTTAATATGTTTAACAGTGTTTAATGACGTTTATAAAAATAAAACTGCACTGTCTAGTTATAGAACTTGTGTAAATTTCGTGAGTCCGTAGCATTACGGTCAGTCACCCAGTCTCCTAACCATGCTAACAAACAGTACACATACCTGTGTCCGCAAGACCAGTTAGCCTTGGTCTATACACACGTGCGATGGAGTTGTCAAACGGACTCCCGCGAACAGAGAAGTTACGATGGCAGACAGAACTTTTTTTCATAATTAGATCACATGAATACAAATTTTGATTCATAAAAATTAAACGACTGTCAGTTTAGAAATCCCCGGCCAGTTCGGGTTTTGTTACACATTTTACAGATACTCTCCCGATGTGTAGTTTGTCTACACACGTGTAGGAATCTGCTCAGGGATTGAAAATTCCGTCATTTAATATACTACACACACAGAATGATTATTTTTTTTTCTCTTAGATGAAACTATATGATAATTAACGAACAATTAACATGATTTTACTACAGTTGTTGATATTAGTATAATCAATTCATCAGTGAAAAAATATCAACCGAAGAATGACCTATATATTCTCTGTTATCAAACATGTTAAAAAAAAAAGCTGAGGAGGGAGCGAGCGTAGGAATATTAACATTTTTTATTTGCATTTAGGGGGGAAAGTGATCTTTGGAGGAAAAATTAACATTAATTTTGGTTTCTTTTACGTCTGACATACACAACATTATTCTTATCATGAACAATTATGTTGTATCTACTTATTAATGATGGAACTATTTTCGTCGGAACAATTTGTGTGAGTCGCCGCTGAATACAGTAATATATCTTGCACTAATAGTATGCATTGATCGAATATATTAAAAAAACTTTGATTGTCCATTGTGGTTCTGCCCTACCACTAGGGGTCATGATTTGAACAAACTTAAATCTACACTACCTAGATGATTCCACATGAGTTTCATTTTCCCTGGCCCAATAGTTCTTAAGAAGAATATTTTTAAAAGATGCTATTAATTTTTCACTAGTTTATAATTATCTCCCTTTTGCAGGAGTGGCCCTTCAGTTGATAAACTTGAATCTCCTTCACCCAAGGAGTCTTCAAAGGTATTGCATTTACAGAATCTTTAACAATAGATGCCAATATGCCTGTTGACTCGATGATGCGAAAAAGTAATATTAACTGTTCAAAGTCGTTGCTTCACCAATCCATGATACAGACCAAAGCTATTACATATTAATGGCTTAGATAGTAGATACTACAGTGGAAGGAGTAATCTTAATTCTCCAAACAAGCAACACTAGCCGATGAGCATTGATGAGAAAAACTCCTGATGTAGTTTGGGTCAGGTTTATTGTACAGATGTATATCACAATTATACACAATTAAAAAAAAAAATAAAACTAAAATTTTTTCCAATATATGAGAAAACATTTTTTTTGCTTTAACAACAATGTCACATTATATGCAAGAAAATTACCATAAATAATTTAAAAAGCCCTGCTTGCAAAATAAAACTACTTGCTCATATTTATTATTCTTTATGTTCAATGTTGAAATAACTTATACAAACTTTAAATTGACAGTCCATAATCAATTTGTGTTCTAGGAATTTGGCATCTGAGTCATTTGATACTAGTATCTTCGATACATATAGTTTTACAGGGGATGTTAGATATAAATCGAAGGTAGATATCTTCACAAACTCACTATACTAAATCTGTAACAAGTGGGTCTAACATCTAATAAATATAATCTAATCAGGACAAGTATTTAGGAACAAAGGACCATATTACACACTCAACAGCATGAAATTTATGCATATTAACAATTCAGATGGAAACAAGAGATGTTTTGCAAAACACTTATGCCCCCTTCCCTCAAATAATTGGAATTTTTACGTCCAAGGGACATAACTCTGTCAAAAATGGCTTAATCGTACCCAAACTAGAAATTGCCCTAGATATTTGTAGGATAAATCTGTATACCAAATTTCATTTCAAATGTGTGCAACCTCTGCAAAAAAAATGAACGGAAACGGCAAATAATTGGAATTTTTTTTAGTCTAAGGGGCATAACTCTGTCCAAAATGACCCAATCGTAATCGAAACAGATCTTGACCTAGATACTTTTACCCATGATAAATCTGTTTACCACATTTAAATTTCAATATGTGCAACCTCTGCGAGAAAATGAACAGAAACTGATGGTGGACCAAAAGACCGACTGACAGACAGAAGCAAAGCAATATGCCTGTCCTTCGAAATTTTACAGTCCAAGCTGTATAGGTATAAACAAATTTGGTTGTTTGAAGTAATGATGTCATAACAGTTAAAATGTTTCTAATATTATGACATTGCATGGCCATTTTACTTGACAGTGAGTTGTTTGATATTTGCACTTTCACGTCAATACATTGTATTACCATGATTACAAAAGGACTAATACAATGTAACATCCTTTCAACCAAAGAAAATTTAATATTAAAATTATCTTCTTAATTTGTAAAATTATATATTTCAACCTTCAGTCTTCAATATTTCCTTTCCTTTTTTCTTATAAGGGTTAAGTTATAAAATATGAATTTACCGGTACATGTCTATAATGTACATAATACCCAGTCACTCTTAAAATATAAAGATTTTTAAAAAATAAGTTTTTATATATTGTAACAAACTAACAATGTCTAGTTTAATTCTTGTCATCCTGTTGGATGTCTTTTCTGCAAATAGGACAAACAGCTTTCCTCTGAAAAAGAGAAATAAAATCATAAGGCCCTCTTAAACTTCATCATAATAGGAGACTTGGTTGTGTTTTAGACATAGATGCATGACCATTAGTAGATATTTTTCTTTGTGCTGCTGTGTAAATTTTAAGGCTTGTTGTGCACACAAAGAACCGATTCCCAATTAAATGAATCTCAGTACAGGTTTAATTATTTTACATTCATGTCTCTCCATTTCAAAAAAAAAATAGTGATTTTTACTATAAGCTAAATGCAATGCCTTGATTGGTTCAACATTTGAATTTTCTCATTTTCAAGATATATTATGCTTTGGAAGAAACACTAACCTTTAACCAAGTTTCTGTGCAGTGTTTATGAAACCTATGATTGCATGGTAAGGACGTGATAGTGTCCCCATCAGCAAAGTCCGAGATACATATCCGGCACTCGTTAACATCATTTGTGTCCGCCGTCTCAGATTTAAATTGTGTCGTAGAGAGAGACTGAAGAGCTTCCTCGGTTATTCCACTTCCTTTTGCGTCCCCAATCCTCTCAGCTAGTTCCCACAATGCCTGGATATTGTTATTTCATTAGTATCTCAAAATTATAAACTTCCAATAATTTGCTTAGAAATCTACCAAACAAGAGTAAACCACTGCATCAACAAAATATGATCTTTTCAAAGGATAATTAATCTGAGGGCTGAGAAAAACAACCACATAATTTCATTACACTCAGTAATGACGGGGTTGCAGTAATAAACAGGCAGGTAGTATCACCATGTATCAGTAATTGAAGATTCAGGGGTATATAGTATTATAATCCGCTTATTACGGATTCAGTTTTAAATAAGTTATCTATTATTTTCTCTCCCCTCCCTTTCCACCTTCTTGCTATGTTACTGATAAAGTAATAGCTTTGATTTACAGTGTAAAAAGTTACAGTACATTTTTTTAACTACAGGAATTACTTTTCAATCATATTAAATCCATACCTCATAGTCATTCAAATCAACATTCCCTTGCATGAGATGAGGTGGCAAGATTTGGCCTTCCTGAAATGAACATGATACTACAGTAAAACATTTATGTCAATCTGCATATATCTTAGGCTATTGACTTTTCAATTATGACAAATATTAAATGTGATCTAGTAATTAATGTTACTTTGGATGAAAATGGCCTTTGTTTTCACCAAAAAAAATGGTTTCTAAAATATACCAAATAAAAATTTCCAGTAGCTATAATATTTATAGTACATGGGTAAAGAATTATACTAACCATTCCAAGAATTGACTGTAACAATAGAAGACCTTCCGGCGTTCCTGCATGAAAAAAAATTCAGATACTTTAATCCCCCATTACTTAAATAGAGGTTTTATACCATTTTAAAAGAGGCCTGTGGGCCACAATGCTCACCAGAGTTACTTAGTGGGTCCTTTTTTCCCTAAATAAAGTGAAAATTTTATCACCTCCTTTAGCCCCACCCAACCCCCAAGGGTCAAGATTTCAATGAAGTTTAATCAACACTACCTGATGATGCTTCTATATCAATACGACTTGTCATGACTTTGCTATTCTTGAGAATTGATTTTTAATTTTACCCCTTTTTTGTAAAACTTTGTCAACAGTTTCCACACCCTACCCCTTAGGTTTATGATTTAAACAAATAAATCTACACCATGTCAGAAAGCTTTCACATGTTTCATGTTCTGTTTTTTTTTGTGTTTTTTTTTTTGCCCAGTGGTTGTTGAGAATTTTTTATCATGTAAATGCATTCACTGAATTTAAACTATTGTTTAATTATCCCCGCTTGGAAGAGGGAATGTCATTGCATTTGAATAAATTTGAATTCCCTTCACTTGAGGATGTTTGTGTTGCAAGTTTAGTTAAAACTGGTCATGTGGTTCTGGACAAGATGACATTGTGAAAAGTTTATGATGACAATAACAACAAGGACAGTGATGGACAAGGACAAATTTCCATCCGTCAGAAAATCTCTGTTCTGTGCCTTTGGCTCAAGGTGAGCTAAAAAGTGTAATAGATATAACATTAAATGATTAAAAAGTAGCAGTACTAACTGTGTAACTGAAATGGAGTTCTGTGCCGGATAACTCTGTTTTCAAATGGATCATGCATCTGAAGATTTGGATGATTTCTCTGGAAAAAAGACAATATAGACAAATATTATATATAAGTATTCGTATAAGAAAGTTTCTGATGTTTGTTGTAAGTTGATATTGAAATATTCTTGTCTAAATGTTTAGATGTGGTATTATTGGTATTATATCTACTAGACCTGTTGCCAATGAACTAAACAATTACATTTTCAATAAATTTCAATGGTCATGTGTGAGTGTAGGTGGGTGTAATGAATAGTTCTTTCACAGTTACATGTATTTTATAGGAAGAAATATTTTATTTTTCCTTCAGAGTAATGTATATAATATTTTATAAATATTTATTAGTATTTTATAAAATTGAAATCAATTATTTTACCATTTGCATCCTCCTGTCAAGGAAATTTCTTTCTTCTCTTAATAAATTATTTTTCTCATCTTCCTCTTCTTGCAACCTTAGAAAAAGAATAACATTTAATTGGATAGTAATAATTCATGCTATTTCTACAGCTGAATAATTTGCTTTAACTCTCTCAAAATCCTCTCTTTCCTTAAACACTGACCACAGTTATCATCATACAGTGTATTAACATAATTAAAAAAAAAATTATGCAGAAGATGTTTGTTCTATGTATGCTTTGAATATATTGATATAAAAAAATGAAGTGTGTGTATCATTACTAGACAAAAAGGGTTCTATTATCAGATAAAAAGATGTGTAATAATATTAAGTCTATCTTTCACTACAATACCTCCTGGCCATCTCTCCATCCCTCTCCACTTGAGTTCTGTTTAGTTCCTGCCCCAGTCGTCTAGCATAAATTTCATCATCTTGTGTCTCTGACCGTCCCTGATTAGATTTCTTCTGTGCTCTTCTGTAATTTTTTTCTGTTCGATTAGGTATGTGGTTAAAGGTATCAAACTGTCTCTGTTTTAGCGCTGTTTCCTCGTCACTGGAAACTGTGACATGTTCATCGTAATGTCTCGTGTCATTGTTAATATAATTATCAGAATGGTCACTGTGATTATTTTGCTTATAACTATTCTTCGGCCATTTTCTACCATGCCTTGATCCCTTCATCCGCTGCGGATTACTCCGATATCCATTCACTGGATGATGATTTGATAATCCATCAAAATTTACTTGAGGTGATGGAAAGCCAGGCTGCAATGTTCTTATCTTTGGTGATGAAACATCTTCATCAAAGGAAGAGACTTCAGGGAGGGAATCTTCCTCGACATCATCGCTGTAGAAGGTGAAGGTGGAACGTCCAGAGCTATCTATGTCCTCACTCTGAGGCTGAGCTAACAATGACCCTCTATCTGTCGTACTCTGGTATGAAGTGTCCATCATACTTTCACAACTCTGTTTGGGGATTGTCTCCTCCATGTTAGCACCAAATTCCTCTCCTTTGTCTGAGTATGTCTTTACTTCATCTGTGTCCATTGGATATACGAGTGGAGTGTCCGTTGGATATACGAGTTGAGTGTCCTTTGGATATACGAGCGGAGCATCACATTCCGTATCACTATCACTGTCAATAATAAGCACAGGGTGATTTTTCTGGTTTCCATTACCATTTTGAATTCTATTTTTGTCCTTCCTTCTATCATTTTTCTTATGAATTGTGGGTGAAACTGAATTCATCTGGTCAAAATGGATTCTATCCCTGTTCTTTTCTTTTTCATATTCTTGATTTTGTAACTGCCAAGCTAGAAAAGCATCAGGATCATTTCTTACACTCTCTGTTGGAAAACCTGATATACCTAGAATTATTTCAGATTCCAGAGTTTGGTCATGAAGTTGTCTGGCATACCTCTCATCATATCCTGTAGCCATTGGGAACTAATGGCTGTAAAAACAGAAAAAATTACTGTAAAATCACATATTTTCATTGGGTCAAATTTTTGTGGTTTGAAGAAAATCTACAGGTTCATTCGGATTTGATTTCGTGGATGAAGAATTGTTGAGAAGTCATGTATATGACATTTTACTTTTCGTGTTGCACATGAATTCGTGGGTCTCTTCATACCTCGAAAACAAAGAAAATTAAACCCCCATGAAAATTAGTGATTTCACAGTACGTATTACTCTCAAAAACAAAGAAATTTCAAAAACAAATACATTTACATGTACAAATTGAGGGTATACTGGTACTGGAAAAAGCTTCGCAATGCAATTTTTTTGATAATTTAATTATATATTGCAATAATCCAGAATATCAATAGTATGTTTTGATTGTCATTTCTTGTTTAAAGTCTCTCTTGAGAATTTTTCAGTCACAAGGAGAAACCATAACTGTCCAGTAGAGAGCTGTAACTTTAGATCTAGACTCTGCATTTGGGCCATTGAGCAGTGAAGGATCTTTTTCATGGCTGATGCTGGCATCTACTATATGACACAGGATTTTGGTTTTATCTCTTGATAATGATGTGATCTCATCACAAAGACCAACCTCCATGTCTCTGCAGTAGGATTCGAACCCAGAACAAAAGGATCAACTTACCCCAAGACTCTATAGCAGACATTCTAACCACTGGCCATGGAATTTCAATATTACTGCACAGATCTAACTTTATTTATGCTACATATATTTGGTTTTGTATTAACCACACTAATCTATGCAGTGGAGCTCACATTTCATTGACAAAATTTTTCCTGTCATGGAAGAAATACATCATTTACACATAATTTTTTATTGCTTAGTACTTTACTTTAGGCATTACAGAACATTCACACTGATAAAAAGATGAAATTGTACATGTATTACTGTATACAGGGCCCCGTGTTATTTTCGCCCTTTCACAAACAACTTTGAGCCGTTTTAAATTTGCCCATTCATGTTATTGTTAAAGAAATCATACTGTATTCTTTGAATTCGCCCCGTTTTAAATTTGCCCTAATGAGGGTAGGGCGAAAGGGGGCAAAAATAAAAAGGAAATGAAAATGTCCCTGTATACAGTACATTGAACTGTGAAGTGTGTGTGACAAGTGAAGCTGTAGAAATATGGCGGAAAGAGATAAATTCTCTTCCTTTAACAAATCATGTTCAGCTTTGATGGCATCAGAAAGGAATTGCTATTTTTATTTCTGAGAACTTCTGTCTAGTAGCTTTAGTTTACAGCTAGTTTCCTTGTTTTTGTACTATTGGGCCAATTCTGTGTTTTCTTGCAGTATGCTTTTCTAAAGAAGCATTTATCAAAATAAGGAAAAAAAATGTTAAATTCTTAAATGTCTAATTTAACCTATAGTATGTCTGTTTGTAAACTATTACTAACTGCTGAGAGAACAGACAGTGAATTAAGTTCTGCTGACTCTAACCCTCTTGGATTAATGGTTATTCTTTGATAATCTCCAAATTACTGAATATCTTAGATTAGGTTAATCTTTCCAGGATCATTAACTTTCAGTCTAAAATGTGGAATTAATTCCCATAAACATAAAAATATAAAAAAATATAATCAATGTTGGCATTTGGGAATAAATTGAGCAGTTTGATGAATCTGTATTCATTCTTGGTTTCTCTAGTCTATTAAGTATATATATACTAGATTGTATCCATTTTGGGAATATGTCATTAATCATTCATAACATTGTTAATAACCTCAAAATCCCATCATTGTCAATGGAGAAAATTTTATGTACTCAACTGAACATATGATTAATAAATAGTCAAGGCACATAAAACATGGGGTTGGGGTTTAGGCTATAGAAACAATTAGAACAAATTTTCCCAAAATGGAGTGCTTGCAAAAATGTTATAAGAAACACTGTTATGTCTAGTACCAGATAAGTTTGTTTATGAATTTTGTTTCTTCTAATATCTTGACGTTGTTTATTTCTAACATACCATACATGGCCAATGTCTAAATGTTGAAAAAGACATTTTACTAACAAAAAAAAAAATTGATGTGATTGACAGGAAAACCTCATGATTTTAAGAAATTATATGTTCTCATTCTATGTATTCAATATTCGTGTGTGTGTGAGGGTGTGTGTGTGTGTGGGGGGGGGGGGTGTATTTCCACACTTCAGACGCGTGGTTTTGAATCAAAGTAATGACATGGGTGTTTTCTACAAATGATAATAAATACACCCCTTTATAATACCCCATGACCTGAATGTCAAATGTAAGGATTACAAAGGAAAAAACTAAATAATTATTTGTTTTTGAATAAAACGAAAGTAGATTCAATTCAGGACAATTTTGAATTTACCTTTTCAACATTCCCAGGTAAAGCTGTAAATCAGTCCTTTTATGTGTTCAAAAAATAAATATCATTATTATTTAACTTCTTGCGAAAGATGAAGACATCATTTTCTGTGGTGAAAATGGAATTTCAAATGAATGACAAATCATGAAACCAGAAACGTCAAATTACACGGTCGGACATCCGTGTCTTTCCTGCGCAAGCGCAGGAGGAAGATCATCTACTTCACTTTCAGATTTGATTCCGGAAATAGTAGTCAGCTTTTTATAGTGTGTAGGCAATCTCCCATGCAGAGTTGTTGTTCGTTCCACAGGTGCTTGAGGACAGGACCCCCCCCCCCCTCCTTCGATATAGACCCCTGGGCTTTTTCGATTTTTTACTCATAAAAAATCTTTCATTGACATATTTGTGATAAGATCTATACCAGCAAATTGAAAAATTACCTAAAACAAACGTTCTATTAAATGTACCCTACATTCTATATATATAGAGAGGGTAGATATTTTTATAAAATGTAAGTTTAAGCAAATTTTCTGAATTGATAGGATAGATTATATCACAAATGTGTCATCCATATATAATTTATGTGAAAAAAGTCTAACAGGCCCGGGGGTCTATATCGGTGGGGGGGGGGGGGGGTCCTGTCCTCAAGCACCTGTGGTTCGTTCCTCTTTCAGACACCTCTGCGATGGGGTCACGTCAAGATTTCTGACATAACGTATAAAACGTGATATTTGCAACATTGTTTCAAATTAAATTCCCACTGCATATATATAACATATTAATTTTCTTAAATGTATAATTATGATTACATAACAAGTCTAGTCAGTTGTTCCAATATATTACATAATGCTCAATATTGCATACTGAACATTCATAGTTTCAGTAATTCAAAACTTGATGATAATATTGAATTCTTTAGTTCTTTGTATTAGAATTATGATATTTGTTTTTCTGAAACCATGCAGGATTCACCACACAATCTTCCTGGATTTGCTTCTCCCTTTGTACTCAATGCTAAAAAGGTCAAAAAGAAGGGCAGAAAATCTGGAGGTCTTATGGTATTTGTTTAAAAAGAAATTTATAAACATTTTATTAAAGAAAAAGAATCTGATAACTCTTTATGGATAAAAGTAGAAAATGTTATTATTCCAAACTGTAGGTCACAATTTAACACTCTACTTGTGTTTTTGTTATGTTAAACCATACATATCAAAAGATATATCTGAAAATATTTTTTCTCAAATTACTAATGAAGTTTCCCATTTTCAGTCACTTGGAGAAGTATTAATAAGTGGAGACTTCAATGCACGCACTGGACATCTACTTGATTTTATTCCACATGATTCTATAAATGAAACATTTTCTGAATGCCCTGTGCCTCTAGACTATACACTGTAAAAACGGTGTTTAGAATCTAAACGCAAATCTAAACACATTTTTTGTATCACTTTTTTTACACGTTTAGCTCTAAACATGTCTCATTTCTAAACACGTTAGACTTCATGTGTTTAGTTGCTAAACATGTTTAACCCCTAAAAACTTAAATCTAAACACATTTTTTGTTTCACTTTTTTTTACACGTTTAGCCCTAAACACGTCTCATTTCTAAACACATCAACATTTAAGTGTTAAGTTGACAAACATGTTTAGTTCTACAACATTAGATCCAACACAATAGTTTAATTTAATATATACTATTGCATGAAAACATATTTTTAGAAGAAAAACATTATTATAAATAAGTTTCCTATAAATACTTTAGCACATTTAAGAACTGGTGTTTACATGTACATACAAAAACCAAATTTTGAACTTGAAAAGTACCCATATTTCAGGAAAGAAACAGCTAACCACAACATTATTGAATATTCAAACTTGTATTTATTTTGAAGAATGTTAAATTCAATATACATATAGGTCCAAACATGTAAATTTTTTTGCTCGTTTCAATATTTTTCAGCTCAGCAAACATGCAATTATTTCTCATGTCTGTAACAAATTAAAGTTAATCAAGTTTATTTAGTTCCTGCAAGTCTTTCACTAGAAACACACGATCATATGTTTTCGTCCATGACTGCCAGAAAGGAATCCATTTCCATTATACGAATGTTTTGTGGCTGTTTAAAACTATACCGAGCAGTAGACTTCACAAAATTTAGTTTCCTCTAAAATGTAAGCAGTGCTGAAGTCATGTAACAACAATTGCGTGGACTTGGAAATGGACATCAACTACTCTGAGACGTGTATTTTTGCTTCGATCTGGACCATATCCTGTCAGAAAAAATAAAATTATGCTAAAAATATGCCCCTTGCTTACTGAAAGCTAATCTAACTAATATTATGCAACATTTATTGAAATCCATTTAACTATTATGTACATACACATGTATAATACTGATATAGTATAGAACGTAATATAGATCGATATAGATATTTTCAATGACATTCTATATAGCTCCTTTCTAGCTTTCAGAATGCAAAAATAAAAGAAGGAAATCTTGATCTACAATTGTGTAATTGCATGTTTATTTACGTTTTTCATTCTAGTCAATTTATGTCAAAATGATAAAAGTAAGCAGACCTTTTATTGTGGTAATATTGCCTTTCGAATGTCTTTCACAATCCCTTCCAGGTTATCACTTTGGTTTTGATTCGCTACCTTTAATCCATCTTCTTTGGCTTACACTGGAATTTCCCTTGTTTCGATAACCGCTCTATTAACGTTCAAATATATTACGCGTCATTTCCGGGAAGATAACTTTGTTTGTCACAGAAAGTGTTCAATTTCTAAACACTTAAATCTAAACATGTCTTAAATCTAAACACGTTTAGATATACATGCTTAGACGTAAGTGTTTAGCCGTTAAACACAATCTTAAACATGTTTAGGTCTAAATATGTAATGGAAGTGTTTATTTTCTAAACGCAGTTTTTACAGGGTACTCACCCGACTCTATTTTGCCACGCAATAATACTGATAATCAAACCAGTCTACATGGTGAACTTTTATCTACCCTGTGCAAAACTTTAAACCTTAGAATTCTTAATGGAAGATTCCTTGGTGATTCCCTTGGTTATTGTACATTTTATAATTTTAATGGTTCTAGTTGTGTTGATTACATGTTGGCTACCAGCCATGTTTTACATAATATACTCTATTTCAATGATTTACCACCTACAGAATTGTCTGATCATAGCATTACTTGTACTAGTTTTAAGTGTGGGGCTTTTAATTGCCCAGTTACATGTGAATCATATATTGAATGTAGATCTACCCCATTGAAAGGACAGTACATTTGGTCTAATCAGTGTAAACTTGCTTACCAAACAGCCCTTGTTGATGTAGAGAGCACAAACAGCCTAATAGAACTTGATAATAGTCTAAATGAGAAAGACATAAGTATTGATGCTATTAACAATAAATTAACTAAAATATATTTAACAGCTGCATCTAAAACACTTCTCTTTAAACCACCAATACATAATCGAAAAATAAACAAGAGAAAACCAAAACTTTGGATGTCTAATGATATATCTCTACTAAAAAGAGAAGTCCGCAAACTTGGAAGAAGAATTCAAATAAACCCTAAAGATTGTAATTTATTACAGGCTTTCGCAAATGCTAAACGGGAATTTAACAGAATGAAAAAGAAATCAACACATGAATTTTACAAGACAGTAACTGACAACATCAACAATCTAAATCAGAACAATTCAAAAGATTTTTGGAAGGTCCTAAACAAAAATAAAATTAAACAAAACTCAAATTCTTCCAATCCAGGACTTCAAGCATTTATGAATCACTATCAAAACTTATTGTGCTCTAAGGACAGTAACTCCTGTGAATATATAGATAAATCTGAAACTCAGAAACTTACTCCCCTTGACTACCCTTTCACATGCAGTGAAGTCAAACTTGGCATTAAAAGTCTAAAAAATGGTAAATCACCTGGACAAGATCTAATTCTCAACGAGTTTATTAAAGTTGGTTCAAGAACACTTCTAAATATATTGACAAAACTCTTTAATAAAATTCTTTTTACTGGGAAAATACCTGAAGCCTGGAATTTGGTACAAATAACTTCTATTTATAAATCTGGTGACCCATGTAACCGATCGAACTATAGAGGATTAAGCGTTACAAGCTGTGTTGGAAAACTCTTTAATGGACTTTTACAATGCCGCCTAAATTCATACTTGGAAACAAATGACCTACTGAGTAATTATCAATTTGGATTCAGAAGAAACCACCGTACCACAGATAATATATTTATTTTAAAAACTCTTATAAATAAGTATTTAAAATGGAAGAAACAAAACATTTATGCATGTTTTGTGGATTTTACTAAAGCCTTTGATACAGTATACCAAAAGGGCATAGGTGGGAAATTTTACAATATTATAAATAATATGTACTCGAGTACTAAATATTGTTGTAAATATATATTATTATAACAGTAACTTGATCCGAAGGGTCGTATCACGTCGAGTTGACAGGCGTGGATCATCAGATCTAACGAGACGCGAAGCGTCGAGTTTGATCTGATGATCCGCGCCTGTCAACGAGACGTGATACGGCTCTTCGGATCAAGTTACTGTTATAATGATAGATTTATTATATACCCCCTTATAACTAGCTAAATATAGCAGAATTAAACTTTAGAGATCAATTGTATAATATTTATCCATAAAACAAAGCATAATGACAAGGGACTTTTTAACGCGCAAGAAAAATAACGTCATGTTTTTGCGTACTATGTCATCAGTTTCGGAGAGTGGTGATATGGATTCAGAAAACCACAGTGTGGTGATCCGGAAAATCGGATCAAACTCTGTAAAATTAACAGTAACAAAAACAAGGAAATTGATGGGTATATAATAAAGATGAATATTACTATAGTGAACATTTTATAGCTACACGTGGGGTTAAACAAGGAGATAATCTTTCCCCTATTCTTTTTAATATATTTATTGATGACTTCTACTCACACTTAATAAATTATAACACAAGTCCTCCTGAATTACAAAATATTGAAGTTGGACATTTATTCTTTGCAGATGACCTAATTCTCCTCTCTACTACAAAAGAAGGTCTCCAAAACTCATTAGACTGTCTCTCAGAATATTGCCTAAAATC